GTGTGCTGCGTCCATGGGCATAGCCAAGGGGGGGCAGGGAGGGTTAGCTGTCACCCTGTAAAAAAATACATAGCTAACTGAGGTTCTGCCCCCCCAAAAAAACCTGGCTACACCCATGGCTGTGTCCAGTTGGTGCAACGGTGGCAGCACTTGCCCTTCTTCTGATTAGAAATCCTCTGCCGGTGGGGGGGGGGGGAATGTGAGGTCAAGGAAATAAGTTGTGGGAGAGTAAGAAATGTTCCTCTTCTCATCTGAGGAATGTGGAAGGGTATGAGGTTTCTACATACATACATACAGTGGTACCTCGTGTTACATACGCTTCAGGTTACAGTCTCCGCTAACCCAGAAATAGTGCTTCAGGTTAAGAACTTTGCTTTAGGATGAGAACAGAAATCGTGCTCCGGCGGCGTGGCGGCAGCAGGAGGCTCCATTAGCTAAAGTGGTGCTTCAGGTTAAGAACAGTTTCAGGTTAAGTACAGACCTCCGGAACAAATTAAGTACTTAACCCGAGGTACCACTGTACATCCATCCATCCATCCATCCATCCATACATACATACATACTGAAACAGAACAAATGCTTAAGATAAGCAAGTGACAGGAGTAAGGCCTGGGAAGAAGAATCGCTCTGCTTATTTGCCAATGTTTTTCCTTTGAAAAGTTTGGGTTGTTTATATTTCTGCAGAAGAAACACTTCCTGCCGGCAGCTCCCTAAGGGACTGGTTGGATGGGGACAAGATTTTTTCAGGAAGAGGCTTTCCCTTTGCTCAGAGGGAAATGGGGAAGGTGCAAAGACAGATTTAATGTCTTTATGTTTATTACAGGAAGATGGTGACAGATGATTTTCTGAACTCACTTTCTGCAGGACACCAGGCCCTGAATTACTCTCAGGAAGAGGAAACCAGCAGCCTTGGCTTCTTCACTCTTAAACATTTTCAGTTTGGAATCTATTTGTTTCAGCCCATATTACTGACCATAGTAGAATCAGTTGCTGCATCAAAAATAGCATAAAGTAAAATAAAAAACAATCAGCTTCACAACATTATAGATATACCATAAAGAAGCATAAAATTGTAGAGTTGGGAGGGACCCCAAGGGTCATCTAGTCCAACCCCCTGCAATGCAGGAATCACAGCTAAAGAGTCCCTGACAGATGGCCGTCCAACCTCTACTTAAAAACTTCCAACCTGGGAACCAGTGAAGGCAGGTATGAGTGTCTGGAGGTGGCTGGAGGGTGGATGGCGGTCAGTGGATTGAGGTTGAATCCTGACAAGACAGAGGATGGGCAGGAGTGGGGAGTTCCCTGGTCCTAAATGAGATAAGTGTGCCCCTAAAGGACCAGATGCACAGCCTGGGTGTCATTTTGGACTCACAACAGTCCATGGAGGCACAGGTCAATTCTGTGTCCAGGGCAGCTGTCTACCAGCTCCATCTGGTACGCAGGCTGAGACCCTACCTGCCTGTGGACTGTCTGGCCAGAGTGGTGCATGCTCTGGTTATCTCCCGCTTGGACTACTGCAAAGCGCTCTACGTGGGTGACCCAGAAACTGCAATTAATCCAGAACACGGCAGCTAGACTGGTGACTGGGAATAGCTACCAGGACCATATAACACTGGTCCTGAAAGATATAGCTTGGCTCCCAGTACATTTCTGGGCACAATTCAAAGTGTTGGTGCTGACCTTTAAAGCCCTAAACAGCCTTGGCCCTGTATACCTGAAGGAGCATCTCCCCCCCCCCCCATCATTCATCCCGGACACTGAGGTCCAGCTCCAAGGGCCTTGTGGCAGTTCCCTTACTGCAAGAAGTGAGGTTACAGAGAACCAGGCAGAGGACCTTCTCAGTAGTCGTGCCCGCCCTGTGGAATGCCCTCCTGTCAGATGTCAAAGAGATAAATAACTATACAACTTTTAGAAGACAGCCCTTTTCAAGAAGCTTTAAATGTTTTATGTTTTGTTTTATTCCTTTATATTTTGTTGGAAGCTGCCCAGAGTGGCTGGGGAAACCCAGTTGGATGGGTGGGGGATAAGTAATGCTACATCGTTATCCTCACCACCATCATCTCCATAACAGGGAAGCCTGTGACCAGGTGCCTGCTCAGTCTGCTGCCCAGATGGTGCCAGCTGTTGGGGGGCAACTTCAAGGTATCGCTTGATCTCCCAGCTCCAGGATTTGGGGCACCCTCAGCCTCAGGCAAGACACTTAAGAATGTAAGGACCTAGGCAGAGCCTGTTGCTGGATCAGACCATAGCACCCTGTTCTCACAGTGGCCAAACCAAAACCTGTGGGGAACTCTTAAGCTGGACCCAAGGGTAGAATCATAGAATTGTAGAGGTGGAAGGAACCACGACGATCAATTACTGCAACTCCCTGCAATTCAGGAATCCTTTTGCCCACCATGGGGCTCATGAGAGTGCTCTCCCTGCCCCCTGAGGCTCCTGTGGACATGCAGTGGCTCCCCTTAAGGTGGGGCTCTGCAGGACTGAGAGTTCTCCCACAAGACCTCTGGCCAGACTTCTAGGGTGCAGGTGCAAAGTTCATTGTTTTGGGGGATCTGACAATTAGCCACACTCACAACTTTCCTGATCTGGCCTGTCGCACCCCAGAACAGGGCTCTATGGGGTGTGGAGATGGCACTTCCAAGTGGGAAATGGGGTAGTGACACATGGCATGGTTTCACTTCTTCTACAAATGTTGAGGCATGTGGTCACTCAGGGCTACCAGTATTTGCAATCAGGCAGGCTCATTTAGGACTATATAGAAACTTTAGTGTCAGTAATGATGGAGCCCGCAGATGGAAAATACTTTGATTTTTATAAATCTTCATTACCTTTAAAGGGAATCTTTCTGTCAGTTCATACTGTTGCAGGCCACCCCAATCTCCAAGCAGTGTGAGATTCCAGGGGTTCCAGGTGCTTCCCCAGGGTTGGAATGAGGGACAGCAGAGACTGTGGTCCCTTTAGGATATATGGTTTATTTACAAATGTCTACAACCTGAGCCTACGATGGAGGGGTTCACAGCATTAACACCCCATAAGGGGTCTTGCTTCCCCCACAGCCACAGCCTTGGATTCAAGAAGATATCAGGGATGGTTGTCCCCTCAGAGACTTCAGCCTGTTTCTTCCTCCAGCTTCAAGCTTACACACACACACACACACACACACACACACACACACAGACACACACCTGAGCTCAGGCCTTTGGCTTTTCTAACTCCCAGTGAGTTGAGGGAGGGGTCCGCATTCATTTGATGTCTGGCACAGAGCCACTTCCTTTGCTACCTTAATGACCCATTACCAGGAAGCTAGCCTGGATATTCCAGGAATTTGAATTATTGCTTAACACTTGTGGATCCAGGAATTAGAAGGGTCTTGACAGACAGCCTACTCCTCACCCTCAGCTCATGACATTACATTATTATCCCTTTGCAGCTGTGATGTATAATTATTATTATTAATATTATCATTTGTGCTTTTGTATAACTGTGCTTTAGGATGGGAAGGCTTATTATTTACATTTTTTATTCTTTGTTTTCTTTGTTTTGTTATGTGTGCACTTTAAATATATATATATATATATATATTTTAAGGAAATGGGGTAGTGGACCAAGTCAGCCCCTCCCCAGTTAGGAACCTACCCAACTGCAGCATTGGATTTTGGCTCAAAATACACATCCAATCTCTCCCTTCCTTTTCCACTCAGACTCCCTCACAGATTCAGCAGGCAAGCTGCCAAGGCCATTATCACTTAAGATTTCAAAGCTGTTTGCTTCCTTAGTGTTCAGCTAAAAGCAAGAAACCTTTACATTCTGTTTGATGGAAGAGTTCTGTCCAGCTGAATGTTCACATATTGCCACAACTGAAGAAATGGGCTCCTGCTTGGATTAATTTGTACACGTTTCGTCTTTGATTCAATTCCTGTTGGGAACTTCTGGGTTAACTCTTCACATCAGTGCCTCTTACTGAAACAAAACCTAACAACCCAGCCAGTGCTATATTTACTCCAAATTACAGTCCCAAAACATTGTGGCACCCTCAGATCTAATAGATTGACAGTGCAATCCTTTACCCATTACTCAGAAGTAAACCTTCGTGGGTTCACTATAGCTATGTATTAGGTAAATTCCTTTGGGATTGTAGCCTTGTTGTGGCTTAAATTGTCATGGACCACGGCCCACTTCATCAGATGCACTGAGTGCTGGCCTCAGTTGGCAATTGGTTATAATGGGTATGAACTATAAGCTATGATGCTAAAGGGTCATGAAATGCAAGAGGTACAGTCTGCCATGTCCCTATACAAAGTTCACAGGCATTTGTATTTCACACTGCAAAGTAGAGCACTCTGTACTGGAAGGATCCCAGACTGAGGAAGGCTAATGTACCCTGATGGCATGATAAAAAAGGAGCTAGTTTTGTGTAACAGTGAACTAAAAAAAATTCCAGTTCAAATATCCTCTCTGGCGATGGACTCACTAGGAGGTCTAAGGTAAACTGCTGCCTTTCACAGCACAACCCTGTGTGTGTTTACTCAGAAGTAAGCCCCACTGCATTCAAATGGGAGAAAACTTTCATAATTTACATTTTAAAGCCACCCTCCGAGGTAGGAGAGGCCCTGAGAGAGTGAGCTCTGTGGCTGAGCAGAGATGACCTGGGACTCTCCAGCTGTAGGTTGAAACTAGCCAGCTTCAGCCACCACCACCCTGTCACCTGCCCTGTGGGGGTTGTTTTAAGGATAAGGTAAAGCACTCTGGTTGCTACACAAACACTGAAGCTGCATGTCTGTACACAGCTCCTTAGGTGCAAGCCTCATGGAGAGCTCAATGGGACATTGCCAAAGCACAGGTGCATAGGATTAACAGAACCATGAATTGTGCATTCCAGTGCGTAACTTGCAGGTCTCGCTCAAGTCAAAGTCATTTACTGACCTAACAGATACCAAAAGAGAAGCATTTGCAAGTTTCAGTAAAAATTATATTTATTTTAAAACAAAAAAAAACCACGAGTATGAAAAAAATAAATAAAGTATCTCAGGTTGCAAGAGAGTTGTTTCTCTCTTTTTTAACCTGCTAAAAGCTTCATCAAGGGAACCTCGCTCTCCCCCAAGAGAAGGTCCCTTTTCAAGCTGCTCCCCTTATTGACAGCCTTCATCCTCACGGCGAGGCTGCCCAGGTCGCCTTCGGCGATGCCCACGAAGAAGAAGTCCTCGTTGAAGATGGGGTCGCGGCTCCTCTTGATGACCGTGCTGCGCTGCTTCTGGATCTTGCCCGGCACCAGCGAGAAGGTGATGCAGCAGTTGATGCTCTTGGGCTCGGCCGCGGGCTCGTACAGTCCTTCCGCGCTGATCAGGCGGACCCGCAGGCGCCGGTTCTCGGGGCAGTACTCGCAGGAGAGCCGCAGCAGCCCGCCCCGGCCCAGGCCCACCGTGCTCTCCCGGCCCAGCCTCTCCCGGCCCCCGCAGGGCGCCTCCAGCGGGAAGATGGGCAGCGGCGACAGGCTGCAGGCGCGGCAGCTCAGCGGCTGGAAGAGGCTGTCGGAGGAGCGGCGCACGGCGCTGGGGCTGCTGTCGGTGGAGCTGCTGTCCTCCGTGGACAGGGAGTTGGCCCTCCCGGCGCTGGACAGCTTGCCCCGGGACCGCCAGGCCCTGCCCAGCAGTCCCTCCTGGCTCCGCGCTTTGGAGAGCAAGCCGGGCCCGCGCGGCGGAGGCGAGCGGCCCAGGAGCGGGGAGCCGAAGGGCGAGGACTCGCTGGAGGAAGCCGTGTCGCTGTCGCAGGGCCGGCGGAGCAGCGGGGCCGGGCAGGCCAGGGGGCGGCCGGAGGAGAGCTCCCGGCCCGCGTAGCTGCTGGCTCGGGGCCGCGCCAGGCTGAGCCAGGAGTCGCCGCTGTGGAAGATGGACTCCTTCCGGCGGGTGTGCGGGCTCTCCAGCAGCGTGCAGAAGCCGTAGGAGGTCTGCGCTTTGGGGAAGTGGGGCAGGGACAGCGCAGCCTGAGACTGGGGGTCCGAGTTCGTGCCGCCTTCCTCCTCCTCCTCCAGGTCGGGGATCTCCTCCACGCTCTCCACCTGGATGAGGTGGGGCAGCAGGAACGGGCAGGGGGTGCGCTCGGCCCCCACGCCGGCAGAGGTGGCCGCCTGCTGCAAGCCGGGCTCCGTGAGGCAGCGGTGGGGCTGGAAAGTTGCGCTGGGACTCTTCGCCGGAGGAGGATTGGCCAGCCGGGGAGGGATGCAGAACTCCGGGATCCGGTCCGGGGTCAGTATGTTGGCAAAAGCTGCAGCAGAGCCCCCCGGCTTGGCTGCGTTAGGGACGGGGTGGCTGGGGGGCGAGCCCAGGAAGGACGGGCCCAGGGGGCTGCCTTCTCCAGGGGACGCCCCCACTTTCTCCAAGAACCACATTGAGTCCCGCTGACTTCTCGGGAGTCCCACAGAAGAGCTGAAGGAGATCAGAAGACCCTGCCAAAAAAGGGAGAGGGCGTTAATATCTCTGGGTCGTTCGCAACAACCCTGCGAGGGAGCCGGACCTGCCGAGCGAACTATCATTCAAACCTTACAGCCCTCTTAAATGTAGGCAGCAGGTGATGGGTGGTATTCAGCTTCTTTTTACTCAGGAGTATACCCACTGAAATTAACAGCCATGTTTGTTCCTTCCAGTGGGTCTACTCCAAGTAGCACATAGCTGAATGCTATTCTTGTATAGCTAAAGCCTGTTTGCACACCATAGCTGCAAAAATCCAGGTATGCTTGCTTGCGAGTAAGCCTCACAGAATCCAGTGTGCCTTACTTCAGAGTCAACAAGCACAGGATCGGGGTCCAGCAAGCCTTCCCAGCCCCCACCAAACTCTTTCCCTCGTGCAGAAGAATTCCCGGTAGTTTTAGACAGAATTCAATACATACATTCCATTTACTAAAACGGGTTTCTTTACTTAACAAGGGAAGAACGAGAGAAAAGGGGCAGAGCCCCCATGCAGAACTCCAAAGACCAGTCTGTCTTTGGCCAGTCCGTAGACGTTCAACTTGGCCGCCTTTTCAAGGCTGCGATCCCCAGCACACTTAGGTGCCAAGCCCCATCGGAGTCATAGCTGTCAATTTTTCCCTTTTCTTGCGAGGAATCCTATTCGGAACAAGGGAATTTCCCTTTAAAAAGGGGAAACGTTGACAACTATGATCGGAGTCCCCAGCCTCGCTTCTGAGGAAGCCCGCAGAGTCCGCGGGCACAAACAACCTCGCGCCTACCTTGCAGGGTTGGCCGCTTCCCAAGAACTGCTTCAGGATGCCGCGCACACGGAGCTGCTGCGCCCTGCCAAGCGCTCGAGCCGCTACTCCTGCGAGTTTGCAGCCCGGCGCCGCGGGCGCGCTCTTTATGGGCAAGCGGCGGCGCGCCGAAGCCAATCGCGAGCCGCGGAGGCAGAGGCAGCAGCTCCCATTGGCCAGCAGCGCCGCTCCCGCCTCCCTCCTCCGCGGTGCCAGCAGCTGCCAGGCGCGTAAAGGTGGAGGAGCCGCGCTGGCGCCGCCTGCTCAGGGGCACGCAAACAAGCAGGGCACTGCCAGCCAGCTAGCCGCCGGCTCCAGCAGCAGCCAGCACCAAGTTTCCCCGTCTGGTGTCGTTTTTCTAGCCCGCAGCCCCTCTTGAATCAGGCTCAGCGCAAAGGGAGCCCATCCTCTTGTCCTGGCGGTGCCCAGTGTGCGAAGCCCACGAGCAGGACGGGGGCCCAGAGCTGGGGATGCCCAGCCAATGGTTCCTGCCTGTTCCTGGATGCAGGTTCTACCCATCATTCCTGGTAGCCTTGCAGTTCGAGCGCTTTGGCTCAGGAGAACAAGCTGATATTCGTTTCCCAATCTAGCGCCCTTTGGAGCTTCTGGACCACAGCCGTGGGCCATGCTGGGGAAGAATGGGTTAGAGAAGTAGATCTGAATACCTGGAGTTTGATCCAAATTCAATCTCTCTCCCTCTCTCCGTGTGTGTGTTTCCTATTCTGCTGGTGACACTCACGAGAAGGTGCAAGGCTTCCCATCACACATTGAGATTGCATAGCCTTAAGGACTATCACCTTTACACCCGTTGTTTTAAAAACTGAAACCCCCAAGCGAGCACTGCTACTCTACAGCGATCAGTGCAGCTGCTGCTGGAACCTGCAGGGCAATACAGAGAAATGGCCAGTGAGGAACAGAATCCTTGATGTCCTTTCCAGAAAAAAATTCTTGCAGGTATTAATTGGACTTCTAACACTCCCCCTTCCTCTAACCAAGCTAGCTTAGCACATCCCTGATGGTGCCAATTGAGAAGCAGGAAGTAATACAGATAGATACCTGCAGGAACTGTACCTGTTTAACTTCCATCACTTCATTTCTTTCATTAATTCCTCACCTGAAGAACCTAGACCAGGGGTCTGCAACCTTTAAGACAAAAAGAGCCACTTGGACCCGTTTCCGAAGAAAAAACAACAACTGGGAGCCGCAAAACCATTGCGACATTTAAAACAAATATATCTCCGGAGCCGCGATCTGACAGCGGGTGGGAAGGTGACGTCAGGATGGTGCGTGACTAACACACGCACCACCCCCATGTGACGTCACAGCCAGTACAGCGCCCGCCACAGTGAGGAGTGTCGGGGCGCACAATGCGCCTCCTCCCCTCGCTAGTATCCGCCCCGGAGCCGCGGCAAAGATGTAAAAGAGCCACATGCGGCTCCGGAGCCGCGGGTTGCAGACCCCTGACCTAGACCATCTTCTGTTCACTTTTCCTTTTGGAGAGGTACGTTGTCTGAACTTTATCTCTGTATTCTGATTTTCTACTTGGTTACTTTAACCCATGTGGAACTGGACTCGTTTTACATGCCCATTTTATAGTTTTGCTTTTCACTCTTTGATTTTCACCTGTTGTTATAACTGTTCTTTCTGTTTCATATACGGTACATTTATAAAAGGAAAGGAAAAATGTTTTTTAAAAAGCTGGTTTGGATTTTATTTATTTAGATATCTTGTCACTGGCTCTCACCGAATCTTAAAGAAGGTTGCTGTTAGCTTTGCTGACGTAATGGACCCTATGTTTGGCATTTATAAGTATATTATTCCCAAAGTATGTAATGAGGACACATGGTTCCTGTATGTATTTCCCATCCCCATGCGGTCTTTGGAATGTTTTGATTGGTTTATATCAGATTTTAAAGTTTTGTCTGCAACATTTTAAAAAATAAAAACTGTTATACTGTGAAGGATTCAATGAAATTTATAAAAGCGAAAAATTAAAATGCAACCGTTTCCAGAGCTGCCACACACTGGGTCCATGTTTTCACCTCTGTGCAGAGATTTCATTTCCAACTGTACCTGCTGAACTTCCACCACCCCTGTTTCTGACCCAGACACCAAAGTTCCTTCCTTTCCACCCAGCCTCCCAGGAGAAGTCACTGGCTCGCCGAGGCTGGGGAGCTGCTGCTCTAGTAGGTGGCTGAATTTGTAGGTGGTAATATCCAGTAATATGCTCGTATCAAGTATCCATCCCTCCTGTTGACAAGCACTGTGACCTCTGAGGCACACACCTGAGGGGAGCTTTAAATGGCCAGGTGGAAGCAAGGATTGCAGTCCCCTTGTGAAAAAAGTCATGGCCATGTTAATCCACCCTGAGTCATCGGCTTTCTGAACAAGAAGCTGTCACAACCTTCTATTAGGGTGATTTATAACCAGCATAATAAAATAAAACCATCTTTTTTAAAAAGTCAAACCATCACAACAATAAATCTCATTTCCATCACAGCACTGCAAGACAACAAAACATCACTTCCAGCTGACTAACCAGCCTCTTCCAGCCTGGGGCATCAGCAAACCTCTCTTGGCCTAATTCTGCTTGACGCTGAACCTGGTGCTGCCTCTGTCCTTGCAGCCTAGGACTGACAAGCTGCAGTTGTAGCTGCCTTCCAGGTGAGCCCAGTAATTGATTGCAGTGCGCCACCTATTGGCCACTCTTTCAGAGGAAACCACACCATTCTCTCCTACAGAATTATCCAGGGCTACATCCCCACTTGTGACTTTCGCTCCACCATCACCCCTTGTCCAAAGGCCTGCTCCCTCAAACAATTCCTCCCTTTCCTCCTTCCTGCTCACCTCCACCTGTGCTTCTCAATCTGTCCATAATTCCAGGCTGCAACCCTCTGCATTTAATGGGGTTGACATCTGAGCAGGCATGCTGAGGATTGCGCTGGCAAGAGCGCACACAGCATCATTATTACTTTCAGTATTCTCTGTGCTGTTTTGAGAGCTTTGTGGGTTTAATTTTAAGAAAACCACATACAAGATTCACAGGGCACAGTCACAAGGTTAAAGGTAAAGGTACCCCTGCCCGTACGGGCCAGTCTTGACAGACTCTGGGGTTGTGAGCTCATCTCAATCAAGAGGCCGGGGGCCAGCGCTGTCCGGAGACACTTCCGGGTCACGTGGCCAGCGTGACAAAGCTGCATCTGGCGAGCCAGCGCAGCACACGGAACGCCGTTTACCTTCCCGCTGGTAAGCGGTCCCTATTTATCTACTTGCACCCGGGGGTGCTTTCAAACTGCTAGGTTGGCAGGCGCTGGGACCGAGCAGCGGGAGCGCACCCTGCTGCGGGGATTCGAACCGCGACCTTTCGATCGGCAAGCCCTAGGCACTGAGGCTTTTACCCACAGCGCCACCCGCGTCCCTAGCGCCACCTGCGTCACAAGGTTGTTGTTGTTGTTGTTTAGTCGTTTAGTCGTGTCCGACTCTTCGTGACCCCATGGACCAGAGCACGCCAGGCACTCCTGTCTTCCACCGCCTCCCGCAGTTTGGTCAGGCTCATGTTTGTAGCTTCGAGAACACTATCCAACCATCTCATCCTCTGTCGTCCCCTTCTCCTTGTGCCCTCCATCTTTCCCAACATCAGGGTCTTTTCCAGGGAGTCTTCTCTTCTCATGAGGTGGCCAAAGTATTGGAGCCTCAACTTCACGATCTGTCCTTCCAGTGAGCACTCAGGTCTGATTTCCTTAAGAATGGATGCGTTTGATCTTCTTGTAGTCCATGGGACTCTCAAGAGTCTCCTCCAGCACCATAATTCAAAAGCATCAATTCTTCGGCGATCAGCCTTCTTTATGGTCCAGCTCTCACTTCCATACATCACTACTGGGAAAACCATGGCTTTAACTATACGGACCTTTGTTGGTAAGGTGATGTCTCTACTTTTTAAGATGTTGTCTAGATTTGCCATCGCCTTTCTCCCAAGGAGCAGGCGTCTTTTAATTTCGTGGCTGCTGTCACCATCTGCAGTGATCATGGAGCCCAAGAAAGTAAAATCTCTCACTGCCTCCATTTCTTCCCCTTCTATTTGCCAGGAGGTGATGGGACCAGTGGCCATGATCTTCGTTTTTTTGATGTTGAGCTTCAGACCATATTTTGCGCTCTCCTCTTTCACCCTCATTAAAAGGTTCTTTAATTCCTCCTCACTTTCTGCCATCAAGGTTGTGTCATCTGCATATCTGAGGTTGTTGATATTTCTTCCGGCGATCTTAATTCCGGCTTGGGATTCATCCAGCCCAGCCTTTCGCATGATGAATTCTGCATATAAGTTAAATAAGCAGGGGGACAATATACAGCCTTGTCGTACTCCTTTCCCAATTTTGAACCAATCAGTTGTTCCGTCACAAGGTTAGACAGCTACAAATGGAGATTCAACAAATTCATGGGAAAGAGATATGGTAACCAGAGGTATGGAAACTACGGTATAGAACCTCCAGACTCAGAGGCTGTCTATCACTAAAAACAGAAATAAGTATTTACAGAGTTACTGGGAAATTAGAATGGGAAGAGCACAGGAACCCTCTTGTGCTGCTGGTGGTCTTTCCCATCTGGGTGCTGACTAGAGACAGCAAAGGGCTCCCCTGATGTGCTTATACTGTACATCAGGGGTGGGGAACCTGCGTCCACAACTCCCTCCGTCCTTGACCTTTGGCCTTGCTGGCTGGGGCTGCTGGGAGCTGGGGGTTCAACAGTATCCAGACGGCACCAGGCATCCCAGCCACATGATGATGATTAACAATAATGATATTTGATTGATATACCATCCCTTATCAAAAGATCCCAGGGTGGTGTAAGACATAAAAAATGTATTTTACAGAGCATAATAATTAAAACATAATACAAAGCATAATAATAGGCAGCATAATAATAAAAGAATCGTAACCGTAACCCCCCCCCTTTAACAGGCCATAGATCATTTAATGACTGAAGGCCTTGGTAAAGAGGAATGTTTTTGCCTGGAGCCAGGAAACACGTAATGATGGCGCCGAGCGAGCCTCTCTAGGGAGAGCATTC